AGGTACCACACCCCAGAAGGAGGAGTCTGAGGGTGTGAGATCTGTTATCCTGAGGACCAACTCCTTTAGGGCTCCAGCGAAGAGGAGATTCAGAGCGCTCCCACCATCGATGAGCACTTTTCTGAAAAGCACTTTCTGGATGGTCGCATCGAGGATGAGGGGGAAATGCCTAGTGTAGGGGATATCCGCCCACTGGTCGGCCCTACTGAAGGTGATGGGGACCTCGGACCATAGGCGATAGCTGGGGTTGGCAGCGGCATCTTCCATAGTTACGGCGAGCACCCACCGGGTGGCGAGCTTTCGTTCTCTTCTACTTTCGATGGAGGCGAGGCCCCCGAAGATGGTGGCGACCACCGTGTCGTGGTCCTAGAAGGCATTGTTATTGCCCCTAGGTGGTCGGCGGCCTCCAGCTCCGTCGTCGATGTCGTCGTCTAGCTTTTTGTCATGGAACTCCTTAGCCAAGCCAAGGCAATCCTTCATCTTATGTCTGGCGTTCTTGTGGAGAGGGCACGGGCTGTCGAGGATCTTCTTGTATTGCTCGTCGTAGTTGCGCTTGGCGTGAGGTTCATTGACAACGGCGACGATGTGGTCTGTCCGACGGCGGTGATTTTGACCAGACTTGGGTCCTTCTGGCTGATCACAGCCGCGGTCATGATGGTAACTGTGGTCGCGTAGCGGCGATCGTTGTGGCATCGGTCGTCGGGGCGATCGTCGTAGCAGCGTGTTGGGCGATGTGTGCCTGCATCCTCGTTGAAGCGCACCTTGGCTTCCTCGACGTCGGCATACTGGTTGGCGGTCGTGATCATCTCGCCAATCCCTATGGGTGGCTTGCGATTGAACTTGGAGCGAAGCTGGCGGTGATGGAGTCCTCTGATGAAGGCGATGATGACCTCCGCTTCCATGATGTTGGGAATATAATTCCTCATCTCAGAAAAGCGTCTGATGTAGCTATGGAGGAGCTCGGATGGCTTCTAGTTGATGTGGTTGAGATCATGCTTGGTGCCCGGTCGAGTACACGTAGCCATATAATTGTTGGTGGAGACTTTTTTCAGCTCTTCCCAGGATCCGATGGAGTCCGGGGCAAGGCTTCTGAACTAGTTCATGGCAGTTGGCGTGAGCATGACGGGAAGATAGTTCACCATGACGCTGGTGTCTCCTCCGGCGGCACGGACAGCAGTGGCGTAAGCCTGTAGCCACTGTGTTGGGTTCATCCTTCCTTCGTAGGGCTCGACCCCGGTGATTTTAAAACCACGGGGCCATTGAAGTGTTCGGAGTGCCCTCGTGAATGCTGGGGGCCCCTCGGGGTTGGCGACGCCGTCGTCTGCAGCGTTGCCAGCGTTGAGTGGCTCGAGAGCTGAGTCCGGGTTACCATACTCTTGCTCGTACTCCTGGCGGCGGCGTACTTCTTCTTCATGGTGGCCAAAGCGGCGTTCGTCGATACGTCGTCGTGCATCTCGGAGATTGTTGAGGTGCACTCAGACGTCCTGGTCGACCTCCTGGTCATGTTGACAGTGATATTCAATGCGGTTGCCCCTAGCTCCGCCCTGGAGGGCTTGCCTGTCGTCGTGGTGCTGGTCGATGAAGCGACTTGGGCGGCGCTCGAATCTTTGCGCGGCTGATCGGTGAATCGAGGTTGTGGAGCATGAAGGTCTCTGATCCTGGCGGATCTCGTTGACCTGATAGTGCGCCGCTTTAAGCATGGTGGTGACCTTGGCGACCTTTGGTGTCTATGGGAGCCGTGCGAGCTCGTTGGCGGCCACTGCCAGATTGGCGCTTGGAGTCTTGTAGACATCGTGGCCGTCAACACGGACAAACTCGTCGTCGAGGTTGTGTTGGACTGGCCTTCCTTACGAGTCAAGCTGCTGCTCGGCCCTCGCAAGGGCAGCCTCGTTTGCTCGATGCTGCACACGGTTGACGTTCTGGTTATCGCGAGCGGCGCGTTCCTCCTCGGTTTCGCCGTTCTGAGGGGGGAAATCGACGCTGACGTTGAAGATTGCGCCGCCACGAAAAGGAGGGAGAGGAAGTAGCTCGATGGTGGTTTCAGCGATGGTCTCCATAGAGCCCTAGGACTCAGAGTCCGGATTCTCCTCCGGGATGGTTTGGAGGGATGCTCCGGGGCGTCGGCCGATGTGCAACATGTTGACGACCTGCAGAGGCTGGTCGGCAGGAGGATGGACATCTCCAGCCTAGTCGATAAATTTGCCCCTTAGGGCATCTTGGTAAGCGGCGGTGACGTTGGCGAACCCAAAGGGTAGGGCCGTAACCCTTGGAGTCTCCCGAGCAGCCTCCGATAGATCTGGATCGGAGGGTGGTCGGCGTTGAACCAGAGTGTCTAGAGCTGATTTGGTGATGGAGAGGCAATCGATGAGCTTCAGACCAACCTGGTCGATGGATGCGATCAGATCATCATTGTTGATCTGCCTCCTCTGGTAGCGAGGAAGCGTGCGGCGAGTTGTTGATGAGGGCGACCTCGGAGGCAGTTCCGAGATCAGATCTACAGTCGCAGGTGTTGGGGTGATCGGCGCAGATTTGATTTGCACCGGCTCGATGAGCTCTCCGACCCCGTCAGCGTTGATGACCCACGAGATGGATCCGACCGTGAAGATCTGGCCGGGCTGCGGGAGGGATAATGAGCCTGCGGAAAAAGTCATCTTGTTCGATAAGGAAACAGCACGCACTCGCCTACCAGGCGCGCCAACTGTCGACAGAATATCGTCGGCAGTCCTCCGAGGGGTATCCCACAAAGGTAGATTGATCGGCAGAGAGGCATGTAATCAAGAACAAGAAGGCAACAGAGACACACGAGTTAGACAGGTTCAGACCGTCAGTATGACATAATACCCTACTCCTGTGGTCTGTTGGTTTGTATTGGTTATCGTATGATATTGCGTGAGTTTGGAGGGGGTCCTGCCCGCCTTATATAGTCTGGGAGGCAGGGTTACAAGTCGGTTAGATCTGAGAGATAACCGGAAAGTAATAACAGATTACAGGAATCTTAGGATCATATATATTCTAACAGATCTCGTAGTATCTTCAGGATATCTTCCCGATGTTTTGCGGGAGGCGCTGAGCAGAGTCGTGCCCCGCAAGGCTTCGTCTTGTGGGCTGGGCCGCCCCTGGGGGAGCAGCCCATGTGGTCTGCCATGGGTATCTGGGGTCGTACCCCCCACACCTTGGCGGTTTACTTCAACCTCCAAGGAATATATGTTTCCTTGAGAGTTCAGTAGCACCGCCAAGAAAAATACACTTTCCTTGGCAGTTTGATTTTGGCACTCAAGAAAATCCTTGGCCCTCTAGTTCCAGTTTCTTGTAGTGAATTATATTGGAGCAAGACAAATAAGTGGTGGTGCTATCCTGGCACCAGAAGCCAACTTGAGCCCCTGGTGCAAGGGAATAAAAGAAGTGCCTGCAGCCCTAGTGTGACATGTGCTGCACGCGCTGCAAGCCAAGCCAATATCTCTCCCACATCTCTCATGCTTTCTCTTTCTTATCTAATAACAAGATGGGTGGGAAAAGTTGACGCACGCTCGAGTTTTTCGTGCTAGCTAGCACCATCTACATGCCGTGCATAGGAATTTCCATGAACATCATATGCTGCAGCTACTCTAAACGGATCAAATACAAATAGAAACCTATGGATATGAATACAAATAGTTGTTTTCCTCGGATTCAGATTCATAAGGTAGTGTCAGAAGTGACCAATATAATTAAGATATGAATGTATACTGACAACATCGTATATATCCAATTTTGAGTATCTTGGTACAGTCGTACAGATATGATACCGATATTGAATTTCCGAATTTGGATACAAACTATTCATTTAGTATGTGAATCCCTTTGGTAAGTCGACTGGGAAATATACAATCCATGTACACCACTTTCTAATATATATTTCATAGATAACCAAATATACTTTAAGCATGCAAATCTTTTATTGATCCATGGGTCATTATGTTTCAATTAGGCTCTCATTTTATCCAAATATTTAGGAAAATTATCTAAAGTTGAAAATCACAATTAGTATGGACTTGTAAAGCATTTCTACTCTCATCAGTAGTTCTAGTTCGATGTTAACCAGCATCCTATATATATATGTAATAATTGATCGAGCAAGGTTCTGGATGGTACTTCGATCAACTTCCTGAAACAACTCAATTATGTGGTCGTAATTAGGGCGTTATATATTCAAATCAACAACTGTGCATATAGCTCCAACAATTAACCTGTTGAACAATTTTTTTTGTCAGGTATGATTGTTAGTACTACGGCAAAAACTTGCATCAAGAGATAACAAAGAGTGTACGTACACCCAAACTGCTCATGGATGAAATGAGACCTTTTTTATATTATAATGGGTGTGTGCAGTGGTACGTAATTTGCCTTGTTATCTTTCCCGTGTTCGATCTATATTGCCAGCAAAGGATATTAGGGCTTAAGCAGAAATCAGATCAACTTCTTTCATAGTCTTCTTTTATTGACACATCAAAATATGTGGTGTCATATGAACATTTTTTTTCTGGACACGTGTCCTGGTAAAATGAATGTAGGCGCGTACCCCAGTTGTATTCCAGCGGGAGAAATCTTTTTTGATCTGCACATTTATGTTGCTGTGTCAGCAAGATACCTCATTTCATTTTACCTGTTGAACAATTGTTTTTTGGCTAAAAACTTGCACCGAGAGATAGCGAAGGGTAGCACAAACTGCTCATGGATGGAAATGGGACCCTTTTTTATCTTATTATAGGTGCTTATCCACAGTTGTATTCCAGCGGGAGAAATCTTTTTTGATCTGCACAATTATGGTGCCAGCAGTGTCATCAAGATACCTTTGACCTAATTCCCTTGTTTTGAGCCGGACTAATTTCCATGTTTGTCAGCCAGACGGGCTATAAAATGACTCTTGCTCCATCGCCATTGTCACCACACCAACCAAGCGAGCACCCAATTTCCTCTTCTTCTCCAGCATTTCGAGCTAGGGTTTCATTCTCTGCTGTAGCATGGCTCGCCAGAACGTCAGGAGGAACACCGCGACTGACTCCTCGTCAAGGAACAGATTGGACCTGGACGAGGTCCTAGGGCGCATCGCTGAGCTGAATACGCAGCTCAGACGCCAGATGGCCGCCAACGACGTGGCAGAGGCCAAGCTAGTCCTCCACGACATCATCCGCGGCCACAAGGACGTCGGCGATGTGCCCCGCGAGCTCCTCGCCGACTTGAAGAAGGTGGTAGAAAAACGCCTGCAGGAAGCTGCCGCCACCATCTACCTCCGCAGCCTGTAGGGCGCTGCCCCGGCCGGCCAGCGGCGCTTCCTGTCGCTGCCCCGGCCACTGGAGGAGGACGGGCCGGCGGGCCACCACTTGCGCTGCTGGCCTTGGCTCCTCCTCCTCCTGCTGCTTCTGGCGTGCGTTTGGAACCGTCTTTGAAGACCCCTGGTGAATAATCGATGGCAATGGCAGCGGCTTCTAGGACGTGTTCTGAAGAAATAAAGAGCTGTATATGCACGTCTACTGTTCAGACGCATGCATGCAGTCTTTTTTTGTTGTTGTTCATTTGCTTTTAATCGAGTCGTGTGGAATTTTTCATTAGTTGGGTTTTGTATTCTGAATTTGTTCAATAAGGAATTTATGCTTTATTTCATTCTCTATAGTCTATAAAGTAGACTGAGGATCCGAAACGTTCTCCCTTGGAAATAATGGGGGGGGGCATGATTTTATTTTTCATTTTTTGAATTTGGTTAGTGCCAGCTTGTTATGTTCTTCGTGACACTTCAAGCTGAGGTGTACACTCCTCTATTTATTGCGAAGTCTATCACTTCATGTTATGTTCCTCCGGCTGGATCTGCTCCAGGAGGAACGCAAGCTGGTCTCTAAGGTGGCTGCTGGGTGCGGTGCGTGTGACGACCTACGGCTCGCCAGTCCAGATCTAGGCGGCCGGAGCACGGAGTTGCGTGCATTGGCCCGATTTGCTTGTTGGGAGGCTATGTGGCAGTGGGAGAGGTGGGGGATGGGCTTCGTGTTGCCATGGCCTTCGTGAACCATTCCTCGACGACAATGACAGCCAATTTTGGAGGACGTGAGAATTCCATGCAAAGGGATGGCTGATCTGCAGTGGCCTCCCGGGTGGTAACGTACAGGGAGTTTGGCGATTTTTGGTTGGCTGCGGTCCTTTGCGATCGATGCGATAGCGGGAGGTCACGCATGTCTGTGACCTATTCGCTACGGCTTTGACAACCACCTGGAGGCAATCTTCTCTGGTGACCCGTCTCGGGATGCTAGCGGTGTGGCCTAGAGCCTTGATGGATGTCTTCTGGTCTTCGGCGGCAGGGGTTGTCCTCACTCTATGCACTTTCTCGTCGGCGACCTGCAGGAGGTGGTGTCTATCAGGCAAGTGTCAGCCGTTGGCTGGCGCTGTGGTGACAAAGCCACGCATGCTTGTGTTTTGGTCATTGTGGTTGTGACGATAGCCTGCTAGCAGCTGCCTGTTGCAATCGTTGTCTCGGCGATAGGTCTCGCTTGGCGACTTCCCTATTCAGTGGGGACGGTGGTGGCCCATTCGTGGTGGGTAGTGAGGTGGGCTTCACGGGCTAAGGCCCCCGCTTCATGGCAGTGGCGTTTTAGAATTTTTCTTTAGCTGGGGCGAATAATATATGACCTAAACCAGAAGCTCACGCACAAAAAAAAAACTCATATACCTTTAGAAAGGGTAGAAACAATCATTAATCACCGAAACACAGTGCTTTTACTATTAGGTGAATGCAATTGTTTACAGTCCAAACTCGAACATTTTTAGCCATTAGCACGTTAGCACATTGGGTTATCATCTGCTAGCGCTGCTAGTGGCATTGGCACGTTATTGCATTAGGTGAGATTTTCAGAATTGTTATAAAAAAGCATTGCTTTAACTAAAAAGATGGATGCATTTATTCAGAGTACTAACTCAAATGACAGTCGGTGATTTTTATCACCTAACAAATGCAAAATCACACAACAAAATGAGAATATGGCATAGCCGCATAGTTCTCTTTGCCCTTGGGCTGTGGCCCAATCAGGGGAGAAGCTACACTATAGTTAGGGGGTGCACATGCATCCCCTAAAAATGCAAAATCAATGAATTTGGTTAAAATTTCACCACATATGCACCCCCATGAGACATGTCTATGCACCTAACAAACACCCACACGGCCTATAAAATGAGCCTCTCTCCATCGCCATTCTCACACCAACCAAGAGAGAACACCTTATTTCCTCTTCTTCTCTACCATTCTGAGAGTTGCTCTGTTGTAGCTTGGCTCACCGGAGCGTCAAGATCCCACGGATTACCGACAAGAATGCATGGCTGGTGGTGTTCTTGAGAGGCCACGCCAAGCTGCTCCAGAAGGCAGAGGAGCTCTCTCTGGCCCCACTATGATGTCTCCATTGCCATGGTGACGCACAATGTTGGTGAGGTACACAACTAACACCTCAAAGAAAATGATGGATCATGAGAAGTTCCTACACCAATGTAACATGAAGCTCAAGATGCAGGTCAAACACCCAGTTGCAGAGGGAAGCGGAGATGGGGCTAAGCACCCCCCCCCCTCCCCACACCCCTCGGCACCTACCAGCACTCCAAAGTTTATCACATTACTCTACTTCAATTAGGTACATAATAATACAATTAGCTAGTTAATGATATTATTTGTGATTTGATTTCTTGTCCTCCCTCTATATTAATCTCTAATAGCATATTATGCAATTAGGAATTAGGTCTTTCTATTATTTCCTCCATCCCTTTTGTACTTTTCATTATTACCTACTAAATATCTGGTTCGTCCCCACATGCCGCAGTATACCATCTAATTGGGTAGTTTATTGTAATTAGTGTTTTGATTGTCTGCTTCCTCCAAACTGGTGTCCTTCGTTCTTGTTTTTACCATGATTATATTATTTCTGGCATAAGAATTAGATTGATCGGGTGAAAGGTAGAGACCTAGGGCTCATTAATTTTGTTCTTTGTTCTCTATAATCTTCGGTGTTCTTTTTTTTAGTTTCTTAAGCTTTCTTTTGTATCGTGGTTCTTATGTGCACCCTCTGTTCCAAATAAAATGTCATCCTAGGTTTAGACTAAGTCAAACTTTCTTAAGATTGACTATACTTATAGAAAATAATATTAATATTTGTATCTCCAAAGAGGCCTATTATAAAAATATATTTCATTATCTATCTAATGATACTTATTTAGTATCATAACTATTAATAATTCTTTTACATAATTTGGTCTAACCTACGATGGATTGATGACATGCTTTTTGGCCTAACTATTAATATTTTGTCATACACGTTTGTCGTTGGTCTGAATGCCCCCCCTCCAAATCCTGGCTCTATCCCTGCCAACAATGAAGCAAAAGGCTGCATCACATTCCACGATGTCATCTTGGACCGCAAGAACATCGACGATGTCCCCTCGAGCACCTTGTCGGCATCAAGAAGGCACTAGAAAAGCACATGGAGGAAGCTGCCGACAGCATAAACAACAACCTCATTGTGTGTTAGTTATGAGTTTTATTACTTCATTTTGATTGTTGCCTATATATGCATCTTGCATCATATGTCACATATGAGCGCATCTTATTTGTGAGTTACACTTACACTCTATATAAAGTGAACATGGTTGACATTTTCTAGATAATTAAACTTATTATAGTGGTGCCTAGACCATATTCTATGTTAGTCACAATAAATAATGAGGTGTACCGTACCTCTCTATCATGGTTAAAGAAAGAATTATGTAAAACTATTGTCCAGCTTTGATGCTCTGATTATCTAATTAACTTTCATTGGAATACAAAGAAATACTACAATTTATACCACATGAGTACATCCAACCTTAGCAACATCTCCACCATTGTCGTGGCGATGCAGAGCCTAGTGGGGCCAAGCCAACCATCTGGCAAGCAGTGCCGAAGACCACGATTGTGATGCAGAAGTACGCATCAACTGACTCCACCTCGAGGAACACATTGGACCATGACGACTTCCTAGGTGGGCACATCGCCAGGCTGAAGACGCGGGTCAAACACCAGAAGGCTGCCAACGACGAAGCGAAGGCTAACCTCGTCCTCCACGACGTCATCTGGGGCCTCAAGGACATCAGCGATGTGTTCCTCGAGATCCTCGCCAACGTCAAGAAGGTGCTGGAGAAGCGCAAGGAGGGAGCTACTGACACAGTCAACAACAACCTCATGGTGTGTTAGTTATGAGTTTTATTACTTCACTTTGATTGTTGCCTATGTATGCATCTTGCATCATGTGTCCCTGTTTACACCAAAATTTGGGAAGAAGAACGCGGGAACTCGAAGCTTCCACGATTGTGTCATCAAGGAATCGATTGCATAAGGGTCGATATCAGCTAATTCAGATGTGGCACTGGAATCGGCTCTCTTCAGATGACGTCAGCAAATAACGATAATAAGCTACGGTTGGTGTCGGAAAAGACATGCCGGACTCTACAAAAAGGGAAAGATTAGGGTCCAAGTTATTTTAAATTAGGGATGTTTTCTCTTATACTAAAGATTGTAATGAGTCGTACTTGAGTATGATTCATGCTTAGGCTCCGGGTATAAATATTGGACCCCGGCTATTGTAAAAAAGACATCCAATCAATCAATACAAATTACTTTTTTTTGGCTTTATGCCAACATTTAGGAGTAGGAGTAGTGTAGATCTTGGCGAATTCTTCAACAAGCAAGGTTGCATCGGTCCGGCCGACCTCCGGCTTGTTTGTAAGTACCGTCATGGCTTATACTTCCGTTTGTAAGGCTGCATCAGTTAAGTTCGACCTCCACTGCTCGAATTAGATTAAGGTCAAGTTATCGGCTCTGTCTAAGGGTGGCATCCTTCGGGTAGATTCATTAAGTTACCGATCTTGCTGATGTTCTTACTGTCATTAGTTTTCAGCAATATCAACCTGCTCGATCAAGATCGGCCTCACATCTTTTTAACCCATCGTTTATCTTGTTACATTGCAACGGTTCTTACTTTAAACGATGGATTACGTTTCATCAGCTATTCTACTTCGATCTTAATCGTGCATAATACGCGGTTAAGGCATGTTTGATCTTGAGGAGGTTTGCTGGCTAGTTAAATCTGGTCTATAGTTCGCTATTATGGCTGTAACGATCCGATCGATCCTCACTAATGACACTTTAGATCGGAGGATGCTAGTTGGTAGATTTGTTTTCGATCAGGCGTGACCTTAACTATTTGCTATGTCTACATCAGCTAAATAGCTGATCGTCCGC